TCAAATCGCTGAAGTGCGTAGCCGAAAACGCCTTTGGTCTTCAATTCATCTCAAAACACGCACCAGTATTTTCCTCCTTCTGTAACCCTTCCCATGCAAGTGAGATCCCTTAGAACTGAAAAGAGGCAGACAGGATCCTAAGCATGCTCTCTCTTCCCCCTTTGCGGGGAATGGAATTTAGCATGACAAGGTAGAGGATGAATGTTAGAATCTGTTGGTTCAAAGGATATATGTGTACATGCATGCACTGTCCTCCTGTCATCCCTTTACAGGCTTCTTATTGGAAGTCCTGCTTGGTTTGGAAGGCGGTCCAGTCCAAGTTCAACTTGTGGGTGAAGAACTCTCTGAAGGAAGAGCTGCCACGACCGTGATGTCCACCATCCACAGGGCAACTTGACTAACCAGCAGACGGAGCCAGCTCATAAGGGTCACCTAGGCACAGTCTTCTTCACTATAGTAAAATTTGTTTTCTTTCTAGTTCAGTGACAACAATCATTTTCAAAGTTGCAATAGTGTCGTTTTAGATTAGGTATGCATGGATTTTATGCACCTCTTCATCTTTTTTTCTCTTTTTTCTTTTTGGTGATGTGTAATTCAGCTGGGGGAGTTCTATCATAGAACTATCAGTGCCAGCATTAAAAAACCACACAATATAGCTTGCAAAATGTCTTGTGGAAATCTGGGGAAATACAACTGGCTTTTGTGTATAATGCAAATGTACTTGGTAAACAAGGCATGTGTTGTTATGCTAGGAAAGCCCAGGAGGAGTAGATTGCCCACATTTGAGAATGAAAGGCAGGACATCAGTCAATTCTGCTAATGGTCTGTGCATATCCTATCCTGTTAAATACAACTTCTGGATATCAGAACAGTCCATGGGAAAGTGTATCATTGGTCTTGCATGATGTTCATATCTATGCTGGTTTTCATGCAGATACGGAAATAGGAGTTACCTATAGACCAATACTGCGCTCTGCTCTTCATATGACTGCATTTACCTAGCCAAAACGTAACGCCTACATGTAAGAGGAAGGGTTGTCAAAAGAGTCAGGATAATTTCAAGGTGTGCAGAAAATCTTTAGAGGGAAAATGGATGGTAACCCCCCCCCCCCCAAAAAAAGCTAAGTCAGGATAGTGTATGTTCAAGTCAGGATAATTTCAAGGTGTGCAGAAGAACAGAAAATCTTTAGAGGGAAAATGGACGGTGACTCTCTCCCCCAAAAAAGCTAAGTCAGGATAGTGTATGTTCAGTAGCCATGAAATGCAAACTGTCTGGTGATAGGGAAAACACACCCTGAAAATTGGATGAGAGGAGAGATGGAACGGAATGGCTGGAAAAGGAAGGCAGAGGAAGGAATGCATAAATGTAAAGAGAATACAGAGGATTATTCCATTGTCTGGATAAGTCATCTTCTACGTAGTGCACACTTAGGAGTGATTTTTAAATGTTACTGGACAGAAGTGAGAGATACCTATGGAAATCCATGGGGGAAATCTAACATTTAGTCCAGCTGGAATTAGGCACCCCTGTCTTCACCTCCTCACCCCACCCTCTCCAAAGAAAACTGAGCCTGTTCAATGGGCTTGGATGTCTGACATACTTTAGAGTAAGGACAGAAAACTGGAAAAGGAATGCCTGGCAAGGTGGCTGGAAACCTGATCAGAGGTACGTCGCTCTGCACCATTTTGCTGCCGGGCCCCTCCTACCCTGAATGTATGACAGAATCTTCTTGAAGCAAATCATGTAATGCTTCTATTCTCCCTTCCACTAGTTTTCTCTCCCCCCATTGGTCAGCCAGCATTTTGTGGTTATATACAGTATTAGCTTTTGCAAGCCAGCTGTCATAATTGCCAAACAAAAACTACTGTACAATGAAAACCACAGCACATAGTGTTGTGTACACGTTCAATTTACGAAGTCCCAAATTGAGATTAGGAGGTTCTGGGTTCCATTTACTGGATATCCATGGATATGTCACCAGTTCAGGGCTGGTGAAAGCTCTCCCATTGCCCTATGTGGGAAGCAAAGGGCCCCGCCTGCCCACCCCACCCTGTTGTGCTGCAGCATCCCCAGCATATACGTCTCTCCCCCTCACCGAGTGGAGGAAGAGGAAGGGCATGCCCTCATTGGCTTCCCTTAAAGGAGAGAGAGAGAGAGAGAGAGAGGGGTGATAGCAGCACCTGCCCTCACCCAGAGAAGAAGGATGGGACAAGGGCTGTCATTAAGCTGGGTGCATCCATAGCGCCTGGTCCTGTGGAAGAGTGGCTGGAGAAAGAGCCCATGCTCCTTGCCTGCTGACTGTTCCCATAGGGGCCTGGCTTTGAGAAGCTTCCAAGCCAGGCCCTGAGAAACTAGCTGCTCCAGCTTGCTAGGCTGAGCTATGGCTGCTGCTCCCATGCCCTGCCTGCTGCATGAAAGTGAAGGGAAAGGCCAGCTGTTTCCCCAATGGGCTTCTTGTGGAGTGACTGTCTGGGTTTCACCATCTGGCTTCCTGGTGCGCATGGAGAGAGGCCGGGTGCAGCTGTGCATGCATCCTCTGCATATTTAGCACAGGGGCTGAGGCTGGCCTGCATCTGTCATCGTGCATAACCATTGGCTGTGCTGGCTAGGGCTTCTGGGACTTGCAGGGGGACAGCCTTTGGGGAGGCACATGTTCCTCATCCTGACTTAGCAGCACAACATTAATTGGTTCTCACTCCTCATGAATCGGTGGCTGTGGCAGCTCTAGCAACAACCAGCAGAATTCTGGTACCCTTTCCGTGCCAGCTTCCTAGGCTCCTAAGATGAAGTGGCGCTCTGAAGCACAGCTCTCCCTGGGAGCTTTTTCTTTCCACCAGGCCTCTCAAGGCAGGAGGCAGACTGAAATGGGACACTTTCGATGTGCCCTGCCAGAGCCACAGAGAGGCAACAAAGCCCCTTTCAAAACAAAGCCCAGGTAGGCAAATAAATCAGCCATGAGATCAAATTTCCGGTGTACAGAAAAAGGCCCCTGTAAAATACAAGAGAAAATTGACCTGTCAAGGGAATAGATGGACAATGAGATCAACGCCCGCCTGGCCCTCCCCCAGCGTCAGCACCCTCCCATGAAATCCATGTGGCGGTGCCCACTCAAGCCAGAGAGAGGCACCCAATTTCATACCCCCCCCCGCCTGCTCAAACACTGGCCAAGGGAGGTGATGCATTTAACAGGACATCTCCTCCTCCTCCTCCTCCAAGAGGTGGAGAGAGCGGCCGGTGCTCGGCCTCCTGCACAGCCGTGGCACAGCTGTAGCAGCAAATAAGACAATAAAACAGATGAAGACCAGCAATCCTGTCAGCAGACAGTTATAGGGTCTTTCTTTAATTTACTCTCTTCCCCGCCCCCTTGAACCATGGAGAGTAACCTCTCTGTAACCTCGTCCCTCTTTCCTGTGCTCAGTTGGTTGACAGGGAGAGCCGCCCAGGTGGTGGGTGTCTCCTTGGCGCAGTTGCACCTTTGCCTGGGCAGGCGCCTAGAGGTGGATGCTCTTGAGGGCACCCTCCTCTCCTTGACCTTGAAAGCAAGGAGACTGGTGGGAAGGGGTTAGACAAGAAGGGAAGAAACTGGCTGGCTGACCTCTGCTGGGTTTCTAGGATTGCGTTGTTTTGGAAGGGGGATTATTGATGGAAGACAGGATTTATATGCCTGCTTTGGACGAGGAGCAAAGGTTGTACAAGGTAAGAATATAGCACAGATATGCCTTCACCAGTGAGCTGCCTGCCTTGGGTGGCAGATTTTGGGTGTCCCAAAAGGGTAGGAAATAATGTCCAGAATTCTGTTGGTGATTTATTCATGCATCAGTTAAACTGTGTCACTCACTGCTGCAAATTGCCACTAACAAGGTGCTGGTTGCCTTGCTAGGTATGTGCCTGTTGGGCAATAGAACACATGTGTCATAACTCCAGCATCTTGTTAGTTAGGAGCAATCTGCCATGATAAGTTACGCAATTTCACTTATGCATGTGAAAACGCTAACAGGATTCTGGCTGTTATTTACTGTGCAGAACTTGAAACCCAGCAGTGGCAGCCAGCCAGTTTCTTCCTTTCGTGTCTAACCTCTTATTGTATTTTTACAACCAAAGAGGAGGAGAGGGGCTTGTGAGATTTTCTGTGTCACATGCCAAGATAACTTGCCTATCTTTCAGAAACTGGCAGGTTAGCAAGTGTAGAGCACCACGTGCTGCTCTGTCTGCAGCAAGCAAAGCATCTTGGTCCTCTCTTGGTATAAAAATAGAACAAGACTGCAACCTTATACCTGCCTACCCTAGGAGTAAGCCCTGCTGAATTTAAGTAGAGATGCATAAGCACATGCTGGATGGCTGCATTTCTGTCCATGCTTACCTAGAAGTAAGCCGCATTGAGCAAAGTACTTGCTTCTGAGCTGGTGCCATTGCAGACCTATGTCTGCTCACTTGAAAGGAAATCCCATTGGACTCAATGCAACTTCTGTGTAAATAGTCAGAGGATCAGGCTACATGGAGACAAACTGAAGCACACTTATTAGAATGCAAGCCCTAATGAACTTACTTAAATTTACTTCTGAATTAACACACTTTAGCAGTACCCACAGTCCTGCATAGTTTTCAAAGTGGTTTACAGAAAATTAATACAACTAAAACAATTGCCAAAAAAGGACCCATAAACATAACATTGCAGATAAAATAAAATAAAAAACCCAGCAACAATTAAAACTTAAAAGCAGCAACCACTTTAAATTGGGGTCAATACAAATGATCTATGTTACAGTTAAGGGTTCTGATGGTCTGTCCCCAGGAGGGGGTGATTCCTGGGGTGGTGCAAGATAGTAGGCACTCCCTCACTCCCAAACAATTCCTGACTCCGAATCTCTCTGTATATATTATAAAAGCATAGCTTGAATCCTTAATCCTTCTTCAGTAATGCTCTCTGTCACCTTTTCTACCCCTTCCAGCTAGCTTTTTTTGAGTTGCCCTGGGCTTCACATAACACTGGAGCAGTGGGATCTGGACTCATGGTGATTTCAATGTTAGAAGTTAAGGTCAGTCCCTTATCAAAATATTATACGAGTGGGAAGAAACAGACCTCTTTAGGTTAAAAGCTACTTAGATCATCCCCCTAACCAAGGCCCATTGTGGACCCTCAAAATCTGCTTCAACATTAGGGGACCATCTAGAACAGGTTGATGGGGGTGGAGATGAAAGGCAGAAAACAGAATAAGGTCTCAGCAGATGTCTGCTGTCCTGATGTTGGAGCTTAAAGGACATGGGTGGTGGTGGAGTGAGCAGGATGCCAGTTTTTTAAAAATAGGTATTTTATATTTGTTTTAAAATACGTGTGCCAGTAATCAGTTGTTCTTCCTGACCATTAAGAAAGCAAATATACCAACTTTAAAGGAAAATATTTACATAAGATATTCGGCAGAATATCTATACATGAAAACAGATGGTAGCAAAACAAACACATTAAAAAATACGAGGTCTTTAGAAGACTTTGTCAGGAAAAGCGCACATGTACACCCAACCTTAAAGCAGAATCAGATTTTCTTCACAGCTTTACAGCTGCCCTACCCTCCCTCTGGCACCAGCAACATAGATCCACCATGCAAATAGGGTGGGTGGGGTGGGTGGCAGCAGCTATATTCTTACTGGAAGAGTGGGAAACTCTACTGCAGGGAAACCACTTGCTTGCTGCTGTCGTTTTCATTTTAAATTAAATGGATCAGTAGACGTTGATTTCAAACTACGGAAGAATGCACTCTTACCCAAAATAGAAGAAGAAGAAGAAGAAGAAGAAGAAGAAGAAGAAGAAGAAGAAGAAGAAGAAGAAGAAGAAGAAGGCGGCTCTAGTTCAATGGCTAGGCTGGCTTTTGGGAGTTGTAGTCCAAAAAAGTAATTTCCCCCCAGCTCTGATGTTATTGCTCTCCAAGGCTCTCAGCTCTAGTTCATTGGCTAGGCTGGCTGGAGGCTTTTGGGAGTTGTAGTCCAAAAAAGCAATTTTCCCCCCAGCTCTGATGTTATTGCTCTCCAAGGCTCTCAGAATGGGATAGAGCAAAGGAAGGTATTAATGGTGACCAATTTATGTCGCAATAGAATTGAACTGAATGAAAAATCTCTATGAGAGCAGCATTTGACATTCTAGCTGTGTTGATACAAGCAGCACCGCAAACTGAAAAGGAGCCATGAACAGGGGAGGGGAGAAGTGGGGATGAAAATATTTGAATAAAATCAATATATCAGTATTCTGGATATACTATTTTGGCTGAGACCTGACTCACGTAGGTGTGTCTGAATGCATTCCAAGCAGGGCCGGCGCTACCTTTATCCACGGTGAAACAGTTGCTTCAAGTGCCAGAGTGCCAGAGCTGCCATCCACTGGAGCTGTACACCATGCTGCTCCATGCCATGCCATCACTTTGTCACTTCTTGGCTGGCTAATTCAAAAATGCCCAGATCAGAGGAGGTCCCTTGGGATGAGGGCCTTGTGGAAATGTCCCCCTTTCCATGATGACTTTCTTGAAACTAGGCATTTTTGAAGTTGCCATCTGAGAAATGGCCTTACTATGATGCGTCTGTCACAGAACACCAAGAGTCCTCTGTGGCAATGTCTGATCTGCTTCTTCAGCAACATGTGGGAGTACCACTACCTTGGCATGGCTACAGACCACACCGCTGCTGCCCATGTGCCCTTCCTCTTCTGAGTGTGATGGCCCATGGCAATTTGGGATGGTGGGGCAAATACCCCCATCTGCAGTGGGGTAGACTGTGCTTCTTTTCCCACTCCAGGCTAACATCACCACTGAATGCCAGTCCCAAAGGAAAGCCTTTCCCTCCCTCAGTGGACAAACACGGAGCTGTCGCTATCCTAGGCAGAAGGCATCAAGCAGCTCAGGCAGCAGATGTAGGGAGGCAGCAGCAAAGTGTCATAAGTCATAAGAGGAAGCTGTGTGCCAGGCAGCCTCTCTTATTCTCCGTAAAGTATCCTGTTGCCCATATCTTCCCCACAGTCACTGCAGAGGAAAGATACAGCTGCCCATCCCAAATGGGAGGGAACTTCATGGTTGCTTCAGGCCACAACATGTCTTGGTCCAACCCTGTTCTTCTCAGAAGATGCCCAACCCAAAATTGCAAATATCTAGAAGCTTAAGAACTGTGACCTCAATCAGCAGAAGTGTAATCTGGTGTGAAACAGGGCTATTTGTAGAGCTTTCATCCTTATTAATAGGATGGTCTGCCTTCAGTATTGATTGGTTTGATGTGTTTAGTGCATATTTGTCAATAGACCGTGCTGAAATTAATTCATCCACTCAGATAACATGAGAACGGCAGTGTGGCTCAGTGGAGAGAGTGCCGTCTATAGAGTGGCAGACCATGGGTCAAATCCAGGGTCAAGCTAAGAGCACCTAAGGTGGCTTTGGGCCATTTACTACCTCTCAGCCCCCACTGCTCATCCATAAAGCAAGGGAGGCTAACGACCGCCTCTTTGAAGAATCATGAGGATGAACAAGATAAATACGGTAAAGCACAGTGTACATTAAGTATCTGCTATATAAATGATAAATTGTAACATGCCCTGGGCCATGTGACACCCACTAACCAATCTCAAATTACAGAATTATTGATTATTGGACAGCATATATCAAACTGAACACAAATAGGCAGATGTGGTCATTTTATCCCTAATCACACGAGTCCTTTCCATGTGGAGTAAGTTGCTAGTTTGTATGTGTTTGTGTGTTGTGCAGAGGTGAGAAAAGGTGCTTTGGGGACTACAACTCCCAAAATTCAATGGGTGATTCAACGCTGTTGTTCCCCGAAGTAAATTTGCCAAGTTCTGGCATTGTGTGAGCATGCGGAGTGTGAGCCCTGCGTAGGGGTGTCCCCTATATTAATGGGAGCCTCCAGGCAGAAACTTGCGTCTTGGAATATTTTGCAGTTTGCCAGCCTCTCTTCAATTTGGCATCTGGTCCTTGGAGGCATGCCTTTGGCACTGTAAGCACCTGGGCTCTCCATGGAGAACGCTCTGCCGTCTTGTCAGCAAGAGCCATCTGCAGTGAGGATTGGGAGGGCATGTGTGCAAATCACATTAATTCAATTAGTATTATGCACAACTGGCCACATTTTGGAGCGTTCCAAAGGAACGGCTCCTGTGGCTTTACTGTGACACTGAAAAGGGTTCAACAGCCAGTGGGGGGGGGGGCAGAGAAGGAATTTTATTACACGTCTGCCTTGCAAAGTGTTTGTGTATTTTTGAAAACACACCATGTACTCCTGGGTTTTGCACTGAATTGCTATGAACTACAGTTTTTTCCCCCCATGTTATTTTTAACTGATAGAAGGGAGGAGGAGGAACTGCTAGTTTGAGGTCTTTGATTTCCTATCATACTGTTGTCTGAGAGTATGACAGGAAATCAGAGACCCCAAACTAGCAGTTCCTTCTCCTCCTCCTTATCAGTTATAAATAACCCGTGTGTGTGTGTGTGTGTGTGTGTGTGTGTGTGTGTGTGTGTGTAACTGTGTAAAACTCAGGAGTACATTGTGTGGTGGATGTGTTACATGTCGGAGTGTGGTCACATAACCTGCATGTGTCCTTAAGTGTATGTTGCCCTCCATGTGAAGGTACATCCAGCACCTAGCCCAAGTCCTCATCTGTACTTCTGGCCTGCCTGCCTGTTTTCCTCTAGTCTGCTGTCAGGGTCTTGCCTACATGGCCCCACCGTGGAATGTTCTGTTTCCTGCTTATTCTGAATACGCTTGCTAGCGCATCTCCAGTACTAAGCTTTTTTCCCCCCTCCTTGGCATTGACTGCTCACAATGTCATGGCAACATATTGATTAAATGCCAATACGATTTGACACTTCAGTGCCAGGTTCTGGATTCATGATGTGTTTGACATGCTTGACTCACTGGATGCCTTCCCTGATGCTATGATGATATGATGGCATTGTGCAAAGCAAGCACAGCATTGCCGGGCACCCCTTCAGCCAGGTTTGTTATACAAAAAGTGTGTGTGTGTCATGCTGCATGTGACACACACACAAGGGTGGGAAGGCTCTGAGGCTGCAGGCATGGCTTCACCAGTTGAATCTCTTAACAAACACTGGATTGGCAGATATCAGAGCAATATGACACAAGTCATAAGACCATAGGAGTGGGGGAGAGTAAGTTGAATGTGGAAGGGACATGGAATAAACTGGCAAAAGCCACAAGGAAAAGACATGAGCACATGGGAGAAGCAGCATGCTAGATTGCAAAGTGTGCCTGTTTTCCTTCAGAGATTACCTGCTTGACCCCTGGGAACTGCCAGCACTGCTTTCCTCACCACACTCAGCTTGGAGAAGGAGCAGAACCCATGAGGACCCTTTTTGCAGCCAATCACAACACACATTAGTAGTCTTAGGCATCCTTCAGTCTCGAAAGACTATGGTAACGTGCTCTGTATCGAGGACTTGGAACCGTGTCTAGTGTGGCTGAAAAGGCCAATTTGAGAGTGACAATCCCTTCCACACTGAAGACAAATACAGTCTGTCCCCTGTCCAGCTCCCTGATTTGGCTGCTTCTGGGACTGCCTCTTTGCCTCAGCCTACTGGACAAGGGTCTCTTCAAATTGGGAGAGGCCATGATGCACCGCCTGCCTCCAGGCTGAGCGGTCAGATGTCAAGGTTTTCCTTCTGTTGTCCATTCCTAAGGCCTTCCGATCTCACTTGCAGATATCCTTGTATTGCAGCTGTGGTCTCCCTCTGGGGCGATTTCCCTGCACTAATTCTCCATACAGGAGATCTTTTGGAATCCAACCATCAGCCATTCTCACAACATGCCCAAGCCAATGTAGACGTCGCTGTTTCAGTAATGTGTACATGCTGAAAATTCCAGCTCAGTGTAGGACTACTCTATTTGGAACTTTGTCCTGCCAGGTGACATATTAGATGTTACACAAAACGAGGGAGCTTCGTATAGTACTATGTCCTAATTAGAATTAACTGCATCAATGTAGGGTAAACAATAGAGCCAACGACAGCTGCTGTTGGGCAAAACGTACATAATTCACAGCATACCCATGAAATCAAAACTTTTTCAGACAGATGTAATCCATGAAAACTCACACTGAATTGTTCCTTATATTTTTGCTGAAAGAGACGGATATGACTAGCTCTCTGAAAATATATCCATGATCTACAAAATACCCTCCTAAGACAGGAATGGAAAAGTGAGGCCCTCCAGGTATTGATGAGCCATTACTCCTCTTCTCCCTCACTGTTCGTCAGGCTGGCTGAGACTGCTGGGAACTGAATTCTAAGAAGATCTGATTCTCCATCCCTGCCCTAGATTGAGGTTGGTTTTATATATTGCGGACGAGGAGGAGATTCCCTGTAATGCATGGTAGAATTTACTTCACTGAGTCAGTTGACTTACTCTGTGTCCTCCAGGGACTTTTACCACAGCAAATCTTGTTCACTGTTGATCTCACTCTTTCTGGATGGTACACATTAGTCTGAAAGATGTTGGCTTATCATTTTGACAGGAAATCCTTTCTGAATCTGGAGTCTACATGCCCACTTCCAGTCCTCTGAATGTATGTTCTCTAATTCCTCACTCACTTAATCGTGGCTCAGTTATGATTTCATTTAGCCCATGATTCTCTCCTGTTTGGTTTTCTGCCTGTCTTACATGCAGAGTAAATATTTCCACAGTCGTTTCTTTCTCAAGTTTTGACACTATTTTCTTATATTTATTCCAGACAATCTGTGTCAGCTCTCTCCCAGATGGTTGCATGCCTTTCCCCCCAGGGTCATGCTAGTTCCGTAAAAGTGCTGGTGGGGAACAGGGTTTTTGAAACTTCCACTTGGGGTGCAATGCTTTTCAAATGCAAATGGACCGTGTGCCCTAATTCAGTCTTGAGGTGTGGGTTGTGATGTGCTTATGAAACTCTGTCTTCCTCTATGACCTGACCTATTCTTCCCACCATCATCTGTTTCAGAATGTTACCCCTTTGTTATGGAGTTCCTGGAACTGCAACTGTAGAGACTTAACTACAATTTCTAGGAAAGAAGAGAGATTGAGACAAGAAAAAGATATGAAATTGATAACATTTGTGTCGTTTTCATATTATTGCATTTCCAAACCCACCCACCCCATCTTTAACTATGGAGAACTACCGAGTCGGGAGAAGGTTAAAGTTTGTAAGTGTAAATTTTTAATTAAAAACAGGTAGGGTGTGCTCCAGAGATTGTGCTCAGTTTCTGCCTTTGAAGGGAAACTAGTAAAAATCACTAAGATTGCCTTTCTTCATCTGCACAGCTAATCATGGGAAGGGAAGCAAAACAGAGGGGTGGTGGGTTGGAGGTTCCCAGAAGCATTGGTGAGTGCTGTGGTTAAGAAGGGAACGATGGGTGAACTTTCCCCAATACATTTCTCCTTTTTATTCATGGTGGCCACATAGTGTCAGATTTTTGAAAAAGTTAATTTTTAGACCACAGTGCCCAGAATCTCTAACCTAGTATGACCAGGTGGATGTTGTCCTTTTCATCATAGGTAGGTGCATAGAACTGTCTTCATATAAAAAGAAAACTCTCTCTCTCTCTCTCTCTCTCTCTCTCTCTGTGTGTGTGTGTGTGTGTGTGTGTGTGTGCATCCATGCAGTCTTGCTCTCTTGTCTTGCAGGGGTGGGGAAGGACGCTAAACACCTAATTTTACGCTGAAGAGCACTCTGTTGCCATTATTTTTACATTTATTTTAGATTGTAAGCTGTTTTGTCAGGCACTTATCTTGTTTTTATTTCTAGTGCCATACTTCATACAATTTTAAGCACTTAACAAATACAGTAAACAACATGCCCTTGTAAGTAGAAAAGCCAGGCAAATATTGCCTCTTGTCTTCTAGGTGGGAAAGAGAGATGATACCATGAGCTGAGTCCCAGGCGGACTTCAGCAACAGAAGGCAAAGCTCTTGGGCTGGGTCTCAGATATTTGCGGTCACAGAATAGAAAAGGCAATGTTGGGTTGATGATCACCCCAACAGTGATTTCATATGATAGCAACAATTCTTATGAATTCCACCAAAGTACAAATTTAACTATGTAAAATTAAACTTGTCCATTTATGTCATGTTAGTGGTTCAGTATGTTGAAAATTTTGGTTAAATATGTATTCTCAGGACATAAGCAGACTTAGGAGATATCAGCTTACAAAGACACTATAACACTGAGAGAGTAAAATACCAACTTAGACTATTAATATATATACAGAGAGAATAGACATTCATCTGGCAGCATAACATGACATGGTACAATACATAGCATAGGAAAAACTGATCTGGCTTACAGCAGATAAAATGTTCCCTTTACACATGACTTATATACGTACATTCTTGGGACCAATCAGAAAATACATTTCTTCATTTTCTACTTACATAAAGTTACATTATTTTCTCCAGCTGTACAGTGGACCCTTGACTTACAGACGGCTTGACTTGCAGACTTTTTGAGTTACAGACTTCTCTGGCCGCAAAATTTAGGTTTGACTTGCAGACTGAGATTTGACTTACAGACCAGAAAAAAACCAAAATGGAACAAAAACGGCCTGTTACGGGATTAATCGGTTTTCAATGCACTGTAGGTTAATGGAGACTTGACTTACAGACTTTTTGACTTGAGAACCGCCTTCCAATACGGATTAAGTTCTCAAGTCAAGACCCCACTGTACAACATCAAGTCTTAAACCTTGGTACCTACACCTGAATAGAGTCAGTACATGACTCAGGTAAAATCAGCCATTTTACGTTCACTATAGAACATTTATATTTAACACATTTTGAGATAAAAATCTCAACACAGTAATAGTATTGCCCATGCTTACTTTTGGATTATATTAAACTTATTATGTGTCATCAAGCTCCTCCAAATATATGGCAACCCTGATAGGTTTGTTGGGGTATATGAGATGTTCAAAGAGTGGTGTATCATTGCCAGCTTTGAATAAGTTTCCATCCTGTGGGGATTTGGACCCAGGTGTCCTCAGTCCTCCTCCAACACTCTGTCCACTACATGAGAATGGCTGTCATTACTAGACCAAATCAAATTGAATTCTGGAAGACACATAATATTTTGAACCTAAGGAAACAGATTGTAAAGGCCCCGATCCTCATGCCTAGTTATGTTGGTGTAACACAAATGCTGTGACTGTTGGAGGCAAATTGCCTTTTTTTAAAAAAAAATCCCTGTAGGCTTGATATGTTGCATACTGAGTTATGTGACTCAGCATGCAACTGACAATGTTGATGATGTGTTTTGTTTTTTTTAATTCAGGGGAATTTGCTTTCACATTTTACACCCTGTGTATAGCTTTGCAAGCAATTTTTGACCAAAGAGTACCAATGTTTTGGTTCTAACCCTGGCAGAATATAACTTTAACCTTAAACCTTCCTTCCTTCCTTCTCTTGGAAAAGTAATTTTTGGACTACAGTTTCTAGAATCTAAACTATGAATTCTTAGAAACAACTTTTTATCTTATACTTTTAGGACTGCAACTCTTAGTTGCATCCAGTTACATATATTATTACATCTATACATTACCTTTCTCCTGTGAGCCCAGGGTGATGTGTATGCTTGTTCTCTTTCCCACTTAATACTCACAACATCTTCAAGCCATCTGTCAGGTCAAGACCACCTAGTCAGTTTCATGGCTCTATGAGGACTTTAACCTGTGATGATCTCTCTGGTCCAGCAGAGAAGCACAGTGGCTTACTTTACATACCAAAGGCTCATGTACTATCTCTGTAGCTAGCCATCATGCTGAAGATATTTTAAATTTCACACCATGATGACTACCTCTGTATGGTTTGTACTTAGGCAATATCTTACTATGTAGAGTGGTCAAAATGACCAGATAGGCGG